TAATGTTTACATAGGAGAGAGGAGCAAAGACCTGGCAGTGGGAAACAGGTTTCTTGACTGTATGAGTGTCATCACATGTAGTTCAAATAGTGCAGAACCATGGGTGGTAAATCCCAAATTTGTAACAGAAAGGAGTAAGCTACATTGACAAATTTACATAAAAACAGCTATTTTATTCACAAGGCAATGATTACGACACATCTTGCATGATGGCTTAATCTTCCACCAGATCCCTTGCTCCTGATGGACTGACCTCATGAAAAGATGACTGAGTAATTATTGTATCATGCTGTGACTTGTAGCAAGATTGTTTTAAGTACTTTTGAAATATCATTGCTTGGTATAAAACTGAGTGTTTTTTGTAATATTATTATTATTTATTATTCGAGAATTTCCTATCACATACCCCAGTTCCACTCATATTCTAGTCCTTTCATATTTGCCTTCAACCACTGCAACATCCATAAAAAGAAAATTAAAGAACGAAAATGAAATATTTTTTGAGACAGGATTTTTTTTGTGTGTAGCATTGGAGCTGTCCTGGCACTCACTCTATAGACTAGTGTGACCTCAAACTCACAGAAATCTGACTGACTCTCTTGAGTGCTGGGATTAAAGGCATGTGCCACCACTACACTATGCAGTTTAAAAATGTTTTTTAAAGAAAGAGATATTGAGTATTTTTCTTTACTAAATAAAATGTCAGAAGATGAAAAGATCTTCCATGCTCATGGATCTGTAGAATTAACATAGAAAAAAATGATCATCTTACCAAAACAATCTACAGATTAAATTTAATTTCCATAAAAATTCCAACACAATTCTTTATTTACATAACTTGTAAGAACAATACTCAACTTCATATGGATAAACAAAAAATTCAGGATTGCTTAAAATAATCTTGTAAAATAAGAAAATGTCTGAAGAACAATCATTTCAAGTGCCCTAATTTCAAACACTACTCCAAAGCTATAGTAATAAAAATGCATGGTATTGGTATAAACACAGACAGGTGGATAAATGAAATTGAATTGAAGACCAAGACATAAATCCACACACTTACAGACACTTGATTTTCAAATAGAAGTCAAAATTATATAATAGAAAAAAGACAGCATCTGTAACAAATTTTGCTTGCAAACATCATATGTCCTCACTCATAAGAGGATATTAGCTATAAAATAAAAGATAACTTTGTTATAATCCACAGACACAGAGGGACTATGTAACATGGAAATTTCAATTCAGTATCTTTTGTCAAACAGTTTTACTTACAAATAATCATTGAAATGAGCTGTTCGTCTGACTAAAAATCTCTTGCTTATACTATACCGTCAATGATGGAAACTCATACAGACTCCTGTCAGACATTCTGCCTTCTGTTGCTCAGAGTCATGGAGATTCTGATGCTATAGTTTCACAGGATTGGGACTTTCACCTGTTATAGCAGCTCATAGATGAGACAGGTAATGTGGTTGGCTCAAGGTTCTAGATCTGGCCTCAGTCATAGCTGAGTTGTTTAGCCCTGGTCATTTTAGTGCCTTCACCTGATGTCAGAGGTGCTGCTAAGGGGCAGGGCTAGCCCTGATGATATTTTTTTTAAGATTTTTTTTTGTTTTATGTGTATTGCTTACATGTATGTGTATTTGCAGAATATGTATATGGTGCCCTCAGAGGTTAGAAGAAGGCATCATGAGTTGCCATGTGGGTCCTAGAAATTGAATCCTGCTCCTCTCAAAGAACTGTGAATTTTTTTTTATTTGCTAAGACTTCTCCCATCCTTACCTGTTTACTTTTCTCAAATCCCATTTTAATTTAATTTTGGTATTCTGTATCAATACAGAAATTCATTCCTGTTTTAGTTTCTCTACTATACTTGAGTGTTTTATTTTAAAGATTTATTTACTAATTATGTATACAGTATTCTACTTGCATGTGTACCTACAAGCCAGAAGAGGGCACCAGATCTTATTACAGATAGTTGTGAGCCATCATGTGGTTGCTGGGTACTGAACTCAGAACCTCTGGGAGAACAGTCAGTGCTCTCACCCTCTGAGTCATCTCTTCAGCCCCTAGTTAAGTGTTTTTAATAAACTGTAATATTTTTCTGAATTTCTCTGGTGCTTATCATTTTGACTTTATTTTCATGTCTTACTGTATTAGCTTTGGTATTCATTCTACATTTTGGTTAGTTTATCTAAAATTTTGTCAATATTGTTAACATTTTGAAGAAAGCAACTTTGTTTCATTGAATCTCTGCTTGTTTTTACATCTTTGTTGATGTTGCCATTTCACTAATTTCATTGATGCACATCTTTTGTTCCCAGCTATTGATTTTGGTGATTGATTTGTTCTTTTTCCTGAGCCCTAAAGTGAATCATTAATAAAATTATTATATATTTCTGATATCTTAATGTAGGTACATTGAACTTTAAACATCTCTCTTAGAGATTTACATTGCATCTCACAGATTAAAGGATTTGGGATTTTAATTTTATTGTAGGTGTCTTTCTACTCTAGCTTCTTCAAGGACTCATTCATAAAATGTTGTGAGTTGTCTAATTTCCATGAGTTTGTTTGCCTTCTAGAGTTTCTCTTGTTTATTTGCAGTCATTTATTTGTCGTCAGGTAGAGAATAAGACATTATTTTCCCATATTTCTAAGACTAGAACTAGGTGTTCTAATACTTGATATATTTTAAAGAAAATTTCATTTGATGCTAAGAACAATGTGTATTCATTCTTAAGAGTTTGCATAAAATATTTTTACTTGTGCTTTATGTCCAGATTACCTGTGAAATCACTTAATTCTGCTCATTTTCTACTGGGATTCAAGTTAATTGATGATAATAAAATTACTGACACCTAGTGATAGCCTGTTTATTTATATCTATTAGTATTTTCTGCAGAGAACTGGGTAAACCTGTGTTTGGAATTATACAGTTCTTTCCATGAATTGTTCCCTTAATCAGAAGGAAGTTTTATCATTTCTTACTAGATTTGGTTTTAAATCATTTTTGTCAGATTAGATGGGCAACACTTGCTTGTTTTGTAGCTCCATTAGTCCTGAACACATTTTTTTCATCATTTCATTATAATGTTCCATCTGTCTTTTAATGAAGTACAACAAAAATATACTTCCTTTTTTTTCAACCTGCTAACCATGTTTTTGTTTACTTGTTGTTCTAGTTTACTTTATGTACTCTGTGATAGAACATACTTTCCAGAAACTATGTAGACGAAGCTTTCACTCTCGGGTCACAATCTATGGGAGAAGTGAGGGCCATATCTCCAGAAGGAACTGAAGTAGAAACCATTTTACAAATCCATTGTTAACTTCTACAGTGTCTCATGCTCAGTTAGTATTCTCATAAAACCCAGATTAAGCTACCTGTGCTTTGGTTCCTAACACACTATTCATCAACCAAGGCAACTACTCAAACACTTGGTCACAGGCCAAACTGAAAGGGACAAAACTTTAACTGAGACTTTCTCAATTGATTATAGATTGTGTCATGTTGACTAGTAGAGCTAACTTGTACTTGTTGCAGTCTTATGAATAGCTCTACTTTTCTTTTCAGTTTAAAAGACCCTACAAATGTATTTTGTAGAGCTACCTTGGTGGTCATAAATTCATTTTGCAAATGTTAGCATACAAAATTTTATTGCTCCTTCAGTTATGACAAGTAGCTTTGATGGGTACAGAAAACGGAGTTATCATTGACTGTTTATACAACTTGAAATACACCTTTCCAGCCCCTCTCTCATGATTTATAAAGTCTCCGTTGAAAAATCTGTTATTATGAGAGATTTCAGAACTTACTTTACATTTTACTTGTTGTTTCTATCTTGCCAGTTTCAATGTACTTCTTTGTTTAATTCTAGTGTTATGAGGGGAGGTTCTCATCTAGTCTTGTCTATGCAGTACCCTAAATTCTGCCTGTATGTGAATTAGCATCTGTTTGTACAAAAAGGAACTTAGAGAGAAAAGGAGATTTTTTTTTCAAATCCAGGTTACAGTTTATTGTACACGAGAAGTTTTGATAGGAAGTTAAAACAATATGTTTCAGTCAAGAGCAGAGAGACAATGACTATGTTATCTCTTGGTTTCTGGCCCAAAGCTTACTTTTTCTTTCCTTATGTTTTTTTTTTGGATTTCCATGAATAGGGAATGAAATTGTTCATAATGTCCTCCATCCTTCTATATCATCAATGACATATTAACAAAACATTTCCAAGACATGCCCAGATACCAATATAATATAGACAATTCCTCATTAAAATTCTCTTCTGAAGTGGTTATAGGTTGTGCTAATACTTAAGGTTATTGAACACAGAACATTTTTCCAAACTACTAGAAATGATTTCAAAAATGTTTTCCATGCATATGAACATAGACTTTATCTTTTCATCGTGTGATACATATCTTGGAATATCCACTCCTGTCTTCTTTTTGTGTTATTTTGTTATTATGGAACTGTACCATATCCTTCACCTTGCTTTAACACTGTATTTTTTCCTTTAAAACTTCCTTATTTATTATGGGCTGGTATTTATGTGTGTATGAGTGTCTGTGTAGATACACACATCTCACAAAACTTTTGTGAGACCTTGAGAACATGTTTGTGGAGTCAATTGTCTATTTCTAATTTCTGTGGTTTACAGAAACAGTTTGGTGTAACATGAAAAGGCCAGGCCTGCTTGTTGGGGTTCTTGTCCTGCCCTGTTCCCCCAGCTGTTTAGTCCCAAAGTAAAATCACACAAGATCCACAAGATCTCTCTCTCTCTCTCTCTCTCTCTCTCTCTCTCTCTCTCTGTGTGTGTGTGTGTGTGTGTGTGTGTGTGTGTGTGAAATGTCATATTGAATACTGAAATAATGGCTTGAGTGTTTTTAGTAAATCTGTCTCCACTTTTCAGAAAAATGAAGTTTCCGGAACATGTCACTTTTATTTGTAATTATTTGTTATTTGTAATTAACAGTTTTCTCATTCCTTTACACAGTGATATATGGATCATGGTTTGAACACACCCGTGACTGGTTGTCCATGAGAGAAAGGGAGAACTTCCTGCTACTGAGCTATGAAGAAATGAAAAAGGTAACCATCATTCTTACAGCAACCACAAAGTTTCTCTAAAACTCACCCCATGGAGCACCCCACATTCTTCAGTATCTCCATGTCAGTGTTAGCTTCATAAAGAGTCACTAAAATTAAGATTATGCCCTATCTCTTCTATTTATCTGAATCTAGCATTTTCTCTCTAACCTTCTTGTTCATCACCCACATCTTCTTTACCCAACTTCACCCTGAGGTAGGGTAGGGTATCTCACACTTGCACTATAAGTTTTAAATTCTGTCTATGCAACACATTTGATACACCTGAAAACTCAGTAAAAGTAGTGTCATTTCATTGTTGTGCCCAATATATATCATCTCCTGTTGACTGCAAGAAGAGGGACAAAGAAGTAAAATCCATATGTGGATCCTGGAAGAGCACAAGTGCTGTAGACAAATGAACCACATTGGGCGATACATAAATTTGACCATATATTTATATACAGGTATATACAGGGTGAGACCAGTCTGGGAGGATTGTGTCCTGTGCTCTAGAGTACAGAGGGTTTTGTATGGTTGGATAGAATACACTGGAGATTTCAAAAGTCTTAGCATAGAATATCTAAATTGTTTTAACACTAAGTAAGGATATATGTTGAGTAGACTGATAGGCATTACCACTGCCTATCCATTGAAGGTTTCATTAAATTAAAATGTCACATTAAAGTTTAAATATGTTTAAATACTATGTGTGTGCTCAAATGTATCTTGAAAATTAAAATTTCTTGGAAAATGTCACATGATTCTAGCATAGCATTAGAAGATAGATAGTTTCAGGGGAATCTAGGATATCATTGATTTTATGGCTAGATTGAGGTCTACCAAGTCTAAAAAAATTACTGTTTTAAAGAAAATTAGAAAAAAATAATGGTATGTACATTTGTGCATTTTATTTTCCTTTAGTTAAAAATATACTTCTAATGATTTAATAATTATTAAATTATTATTTATTAAACGTAAGAAATTCTGATTTGATCAGTGACTCAGATGTTTAAATAGTTCGAAATTTATAGGTGAAAGGTAGTCATCATTTACCTATCACAGATAAAGATATCAATGGAATATTTTACTGAAGCAGAAAAAATTACAAAGAGCATGAAGTCTGCCAGAGAAAACACTTGACCATCATTAGGCTGCTCAATATATATATATCATATATTATCTTTAATAGAGTTAAAAATATATAGTTATAGCTTCCCTTTGTTATGATATAAGATAAAATAGATATAAATATTATAACTATAATTCTTGCTTAATAACTGTTTTGTTATATGTAATTTTACTATGTTAAAGTTAAAGCCTTCCTTTTTGTTTAAACAGAAAAGGGGAAATGGTGTAGGAGTTTCTTCTGTCTGTTGCTTTCATTTGATAATGAATAAGGAAACTGTCTTGGCCTAGTCGATAGGACAAAACTTAGGAAGAGTAGACAGAACTGAATTCTGGGAAGAAAGGCAGAGTGGCAGACTTCATGGATCTCCTGCCTGAGACAGACACTGGTTAGACACTTACTGGTAAGCCACAGTCACATGGCAATACACAGATTAATAGAAATGGATTAAATTAAAATGTAAGAATAAGCCAATAAAAATTTAGAGCTAATGGACTAGGCAGTATTTAAATTAATACAGTTTCTGTGTGGTTATTTTGGGTGTAAGATAGCTGGACGGCTGGGATGACAAGCAGCCTGCTCCTCCTGTTACAGTTAAGGAGGAGAAAAAGCAGTCTTACAGCCACTGTTTACTTACAGAGGTAGACTCTGGTGATGACAAAGGCTACTGTTAGTTGTAACATCTTTGGGTTTTGTTTTGAATATATTTTATAATTTAAAATATTTTTAAATGTAATATTAGTTTGATCATATTCATTTTCAAATATTCTCCTCATTATTACCCAACCAACTTTAAATTCTTTCTCAAGAAAGCAAGAACCCAGTAAAACAAAATTCCCCCAAAAGGAAACAAAACAAAACAATACCAAAAAAAAGAAAACATCAAACTGTAACCAAATAAAAGCTCATCACATACTCCCACCCCCAGACACCTCAAAATGAACAAAACTTATTATATGTTGATCAACTACTTGTTAATATCTAGACTGTCCTTGAATGATTGATGTATCCAGTGACATTGCTTTAGAGAAAACTGATTTTTCCTCCCACAGCAGGTGTAGATGAGAATTCAGTTGTTAACATTTATTTTAGTTATAAGATTTTTATTAATTAATTAATTCATCATTCATTTTTTTCAAAATATAACAAGGTAAAATATGATATGAAGAAACAGTATTATCACCTCAAGGTTGGACAAGACAAGCCAACAGAAGGAAAACAGCAAAAAAGAAGGTACAAACAGAGACCTGCAAGTTCAGAATTTCAGGGACTTCATACAATCACTTAATTAGAAGCCCTAATACATAAGTAGAGAATTTATACAGAATGGTTGGCACATTATTCATGTGTTACAGTCTGTGAGTTCATATGAGGTCTTGTTTTTTGGTGTCCCCCATCCTCTAGTTCTCTTACAATCTTTCTTCTCCTGAAGAGTTCTCTGAATTCTAAAGTGAGAGCTTTGGTAGAGATGTACCATATAGAGCTGATCTCTCAAAAGTACTTCACTCTATGTGTTATCTGCCCGTGAATCTCTATATGTGTTTACAACTGATTTGGGAGTACACCTCTTTGATGATAGCTGATCAATGCACTAATCTAAGCATAGCAGAATAACATTAGGATTAATTTTGCCACTTCTTATTTAGACCAGTATTATTTTGTTTTATCCTTGGTCCCCAGGCTATTTTAGTCTCTGAAAACCAAATCAGTGCCAGATATGGGTTCTTTCTCATGGAGTGGGTCTTAACTATAGACAGTTATTGGGTGGTTATTTCAATGAGCTTTGTGCCACGATTGCTCTAGCATATCTTGAGGTAGGTGAGACACCATTACAGATCAAAGGATCTGTGACTGGCTTCATGCTAACATTTCTCTTTTAATAGCATGCAAAGTACCTTCCTGTAACAAACATGCTGGAATTTAGGGGTGAAAGCTCTTTGTAGCCACCAGCCCAGTAACTCCATGTTCAATGAGTTATAAAGGTGTTTTGTTCAGCAACCAGGCATGCTATCAGTTTGTGGATAGCAAACCACAGCCTCTGTTGTTTATGTGTTCTGGTAAGATTTCTTTGACCAACAACTCAATTATGTGTAACACAATCTCAGTACTTTTGTGTCATGAGATGCCCATTTGGGACAACATCTCCACAATTACTAGGTTCTATTACTTACCTTGCCTTCAGTTGTACATATGGGTGTGTATGTGTATATTTTAAAATATTTCTAGTAGTTTGGGTGGCATATGTTCTCTCAAATGTCCCTAATTTTAATTATCTCTCCCCATATTTTCTTCCTTGAGTCTCTCTTTTCTCCCCCTTCCGACTTCATCCTCCCATTACAATCCTCACATATTCAAACATAACTTTCCTCTATTTTAAAATTATTTTCTAATTGTTATTTGTGGAGGAGACTTTCTTTCCTGATTCAGTCTCCTTGTATGCTTCTTTTACTTTGATAGGTATCTCCTTCTTTAGGTTAGGAAATTGGTCTTCTATAAGTTGGTTGAAATATTTTATGTGCTTTTGACTTGGGTTTTTCTTCTTCTGACTCCAATCCTATTATTAGACTTGCTATTTTCATAATGTTCCAGATATTCTGAATATTTTGTTACAGGAGGTTTTTAGATTAAAAATTTTCTTTGACACATATATCCATTTCTTCTATTTTATCCTCATTAACTGAGAAATACTCCTTATTCTCTTATATATTGCTCACAAATCTGTGCACTAAGGTTCCTGTTCGAGTTCCTAAAGTTTTCTTTGGTATATTTCCTGAAATTTGGTTTGTTGTTATTGATTGTATTTTCACTTTCAGATTTTAAATGCTTTTATTCATTTTCTTCCACTTTTTATGTTTTCATAGATTTCCTTATGGGATTTATTCATTTTCTCTTTAAGTACCAGTATCATCTTTTTACAGGCTGTTTTAAGGTCCTTTCCTTCTTCAGCTATGTTGGAATACTCAGGACTTGATGTGGTAGGGATTATGGGCTCTAGTGAAGACATATTCTCATGGATGTTATTGATGGCATTTTAGGATAATGTCTCTGTATCTGGCATCGGGAAAATTGTAATTCTAGGTGCTGATTTCTGATTCTGCCTTTGTAAGGTTGATTCTTACTTCCATTTTTGGTAATTTGGAGAGTATGATGACAATGTGTTGCCAGCTAATAAATTCTTCTGGGATACTCATAAACACGAACACTGGATATTCTAGATTAAATGTATTTCTGGATGGATACAGAAAGCTGACACTTAGAAATATGCATGGAATAGGAGGGGCATACAAACATCCACAGTAGGAAAAAAGAGTAGAGTTTCATACTGGAATTGCTTAAGTAGTCACCTGGCAGTGAGTAAGAACAGACCACAGCACAGGGTTTGATTATGCTTTTGATGAGACTGAGGATTGGACTTGTTAGAAAAAAGGGAGAGGTAAGATCTTATGTTGGCTTACTTGTTTTCCTGGTTAGATTGGCCTGCAAGTTTGTAGAGAGTTTCCTATGAATTTTAGGGCTAGGACAAAGTAATAAGTAGTGAGAAGGAACTATGAAGCTTGAGATCTGTGTTTTCTCTTGAGACTGTCATTTGGGCTGAGGGAATCTCTAGCAAGGGTTCTACATAAAGCTAGGGATGATACCAGGAGACTGGACTTGGAGGAGCAAGTGGAGAGTCAAAGATCTTCATTTACCTTACCTGATTTACTGCCCAGCTTGGCCTGTGGGTTTACAGAAAATGTTTGATGGAGTTGATATGTTGGATAGAGCAGTAAGTTTGGGAAGGAGTTGTTGGGAGTTTTCTGTGAGATAAACTAGAGATGTGGGTCATTAGTGCAGGTATTCTGCTACAGAGCTGGGGATAATATAGAGCCATGATACTCAAGGGAATGAGGGATGTGAAGATATATAGTTACGTCATCTCTTCCCTGACAAGAGTGGTCTGTGCATTTCTAAGAATGGCCTAGTTTAAGATGGGTAAGTGTATGGTACAATTAATTGGAGGAGGGAGGTTAGAAGAATATCTGTGATATCCAGTCTAGATATAGGAAGTTGGCACAGATTTTCTGTGTCATAACTGGGGAAAGAACTGGGAGATTGTCTCTAGAGGAGCACAGAGAAAGTTAAAAATCTGCAGTCAGCCTATCTGCTTCCCTTGCAGGAGTCAGAAAAACCACTCTAAATGAAAAATATTAAGGAGCATTAAAAACAGGAAAATAATATCCCTCAAAAATTGATCTCTTAAGGTTATCTTCCAAGAATAGAAAGTTCCTATGTAAATAGCAATATCAAAGACTCATTTGCCATTTATAACAAGTTTTATGTTTTCATCATAAAATTCAATATTGCCCAGGAAGCTTCTTTACACAATTATCTCTATTTATAGGCAGTTATCCACAAGTCTCCTTACAACCATTCAATATATTAGTTTCTGTTATTGACATCATCAATTATTCTCCCATGAAATAAAAAATATATCTGTGATTAAAATATATAATAAAAATTTTGATCCAATAATACATATAGGGCCCCAGAAAATGGCCTAATATTCAAATCACAGTTTTCAGTATTTCAAGATTCTATATTCTTATGGCAATCACCTACAATTAATCCAGTAGTGGCAGTGCACAGCTATAATATCATAATATGAGTATCTGAAGCAGGAAGACTGTGAATGTAGTGCCCATTTGAGATATAGCATGAAATCATAACTCAAAACAAAATAAAATCAACCAAAAGTAACCTCAAGTAATAATTATTGGGAAATTTTTTTATGAAAGAATTCTAAATCTGTGTTATTCTCAGTTACCTTTAGGAAACAGTATTGCATGTTGAAAACATTAACTTCTCTCAAAATCATTGTGCCCATTTGCTTCATTCCCATTTATCACTGTCTAGAAACATCTGTGTTAGTTTCTTTATACATTTCAGGTTGGGCTTGGTTGATGTGGCGTTCCCCTCTGTATGTTGTGAATATCTTTTATTGCCATAGGTTAATAAAGTTAATAAAGTTAATAAAAAGTTGATTTTAGTCAATGGTTTAACAGAGTAAAGCCAGGTGGGTACTCCAAACAGAGTCATAGAAAGAGTATGCAGAGTCAGAGAGAAGCTATGTAACCACTGCAGGAGAGAGATACCAGACACTGGATGGAACCTTGCTGGTAGAACACAAGCACGTGGCAATATACAGATTAGTAGAACAAGGTTAATTTAAGATATATGAAATAGATAGCAATATGCTTAAGTGATTGGACAAGTAGTGTTTTAATTAATACTGTTTCTGTGTAGATATTTGGGACTGAGTGGCTAGGCATGTATGAACAACCTTTAACTATAGATTGTTGCACAAACTTGGGTCTGACTCCATCCACATAAAACCTGAGAAATCTTGGGAAGAAATTTTAGACACAAAAGAACAAAGTTATGCATGGCTTCTTGGTAGCTGATTTTTTTTTTAAAATGAGATCTGTTGGTTGGAAGCTAACAGGGGTGTTACACCTCTTTTAAGAGAAGGCTTACTGACTCAGCATAAAAAATGGTGACATCCTTATTTGTGATGGCACCATAAATTCTAGCTCTTTTGGCAAGTCCTGTACTTACATGGGGTTTGTGAGCACCATATTATAAACTGCTTAATGAAAAGACATTGATCTTCTACATACCTGAAACTGGTGTACATGACTCATAAAGGCAATGAATATGCTTCCAATATGTTTGCCTGGGCAGAGCCAAAAGACAAAGCAGCCTTAATCATAGCCTCACCACTTCACATTTGAAGAAGCAGTACTTGTCATAAATAATGACAGATATGCAATAAAGACAGATTCAGACATAAATAAGCCTCTAAATGGGTCACAGTGTTGAATAAATGCATGTAGGCTTGAGAGAGATATGAAAAAGAGTATAGAGAGTTATAAACAGAAGTAAATCGTTTACAAAAACAAAGCAAAGTCTTTATAGACACAGAGTACAGGCAATCATAGATTAAAGGTGTAAAAAATAAGCCTCATAAAGATGGAATATATGCAGAGAGTCTGAATTATGTGTATTATTATGTTTAATTTGATTCTTTTGACTGCAGAGAGACATTTGATTGTATAGACTGCTGTGCTAAACCAGCATATATATTTTAAAGGTATTATGACTTCAAAATTTGGGTCCAAAGATGTGTTACTTTGGAAAAGTTCTGCTTTTCTTTCCATAGAGGATAAGAACATGTGGATTCCTTCCAGACAAATGTTGTTTGATGGACCAAGACCAACTGAAAGGTCTTTGTGAACACCCTCCCCAATATTTCACCCAACAAAAATAAGCAGCAGTTTGAAGACAACTATGCCCATATTCCTAAATATTGTTTATAAATACAAATACAGTTTATATGCTATAGAAATGAATATTTTGGTATGTATCTTGGTTTAATGAGACACATTTAATATATATATATATACATATATATATGTATTTTTGTTCTTGGTTAAAGTATTGTACTGTGCAGCTCATTAAAAATATAAGTATAAGTAAGAAATATAGGCTAAAAGATTGTCATCTATAATAGTCAAGCTTATAGTCATGTTAGTTAGGTTTTCTAGATATACAGAAATGTATTTCAGATGCATAGTTATTCTTCAAACCCTTCAAAGACTAACAGAATATGGCATTTAAAATGTTTAAGAACTTAGTATTTTTCATAACAATGAGACACACCTGCTTCTGTGATAACCAATCTCTTCAAGAGGACGATGGTCATAGAAGAAATTCATTCTGGAATTTGCCTTCACTATGACAAGGATGCCATGTGGGCAAGAAACTGCTCTTACCTGGATTGGTTGATGTTATGCTGTATGAACTATACATGTAGAACACACAGAAAAATGACTGCTAAAGTTGCCTAAAGAAGGTTAAGCAGTTCTTCAGTGTTCCTGCTTCATGAAAGAGTCCACAAGACATTCTGTAGGACACACTGCCAATAGAGTCAAAAGAGTCTTTCAAATTTCCTGTTTCATGGAAATGTCTGCAAGAAACTAGGGACTGTAGGCTGGAGATGATTGCCCCAATGTTGCAGAAGAACTTTGGGTGACTGTAAAGGCAATGAGATGTCTCTGTCAATTCAAGAGATTTGGAAGTTGTTCACAATTCATTTTCTGTTAACTTAGGTAATGTTATATATTTTAGAGTCTTTGATGGAGTTGAAGAATAGCCATAATTAATATTCCTTAGTTTTGATAAAAAGATAAAGGAGATATAAATATTGTAAATGTAATTTCTGCTTGAGACCTGTTTTTTATATGAAATTTTACTATGTTATAGTTAAAATCTAGCTTTTTATTTAGACTGAAAAGGAGAGGTGAGGTGGCATTCCTTCCTGTATTCTGTGGATAATTTTATTGCCATTGGTTAATACTGAAGATGCTTTCAGCCAGTGACATAGTATAGTAAAGCCAGGTGGGACTCTGAACAGAGATATAATGAAAAAACTGGCAGTGTCAGAGAGAAACCATGTCAGAGAGAAACTGAAGGACATGGATGCTGAATGCAAAAAAGAAACATACCATTAGGCTACAACCACATAGCAATACACAGATTAATAAAAATTGGTTCATTTAAGATATAAGAGCTAGCTAGAAAAATGCTTAAGTGATTGGCCAAACAGTGTTTTAATTAATACAATTTCCATGTGGTTACTTTCAGTCTGGATGGTTGAGAACAAATGAGCAGCCTCCATCTACATATGGTGGTACACACTTTTAACTATAGCACTTAGAAAGCAAAGCCAGATAAAAGATCTCTGACCTCTTTAAGCTTAAAGTCACTCTGGTCTCTGTAGCAACTTCCATACCACTAGACAGGGCTTCATAGTAAGACCCCATCACAAGAAGAAAAACCCTAGTGCATTTAGTAGGTGTATTGGCACAAACCTGTGAACACAGCACTACAGAGATTGAAACAGGAGCATGTTTAAGGTATTCATCCATTACAAAGTAAGTTTGAGAACAACCTCAGTTATTTTAGACTCCGTCTCTAATGTTAATCTCTTACCTAAAATAGATTCTAGCCTCTGACTTTTAGGAGCAGAGATCAGCCACATTGGAATCTACTCAATATACAGATGCTATGTGTGACTCCTACACACTTCAAATATCCTCTTACTTTCCCCTTCTCAATGCTTTCACATATCATGGTGCCATTTCTTTCTTCATGCCCCACATTTCAAAATCCATCTGTAATTCCCTTCTCTGTATTCAGTCACTCAGAACATCCTATTTACTACCCTCATTTCTGTTTTTTTTTTTACTTTAGGATACAAGGAAAACCATAGAGAAGATCTGTGACTTCCTAGGAAAGAAATTAGAGACAGAAGAACTGGATCTGGTCCTCAAGCACAGCTCCTTCAAAGTCATGAATGAAAATAACATGTCCAATTTTAGTCTCATCCCAGAAGATGTGGTTACTAATGGTTTGAAACTGTTGAGAAAAGGTAAAGAACTTTTCTATATCAGAACACTTGGAGGGCTTGTTTCTTCAAAGAGATTCTAACAAAGAATAGGGAATGTTTCAGAAGTCATTGCTCCTTACATCATATTTTCTCACAGAATGTACTGGGGAATATTTCTCTGGTGATGATGTGGGCTTCAGAAACTCTGAAAAGAAATAATTTGTTCTGGGAGAGCACCTTGGGATTGTAGATGGTTGTGCCCAATACCAACATCAACAAGCAAAGAAGTAGACATGTTGCAGTGAGGCTTTACAAGGCTTCCTGTATCTTAGACCTCAACTCTAAAGAAAATGTCTAATGCATGGGACCAAAGAGATATCATGGATGATAATCATAGAATTCGCTTCAATTAATGGCTTAAAAAGATGTTGAAATATGTCAAGATTGCTGACTTATAGAAATCTGAGTATAGACCCCATAAAGATGAAGGAAATTATTCACCACTGCTACAATACGATGGTATTTTCCAACCTAAATTTGAGTTGCTGCAGTATCAGGGCTACTCAGTTTGTTCTGAATTGTCCCTGCAAGAATGGCAATATGCATCTTCTCTATGTCTGTGCTACCTCTCTACTCTTGGATCAGATTGTGGGTGTGGTTTCATTGCTATAAAATTTGGACATAATTTTGCCAGAGTGAATCACACCTGAGTTTTATTACACCTCATTAACAAATAATTAGTGTGATGGGACTCAAGGTTGAAGAAGGAAAGAGTGAGATGTCAGGTCTTTATGGATGAGTAAGGAACTTGTGTAGAGATGCAGGAAACAGAGAGTAATGGGTTCAGTTTTCTTCTTCCAATAACTGAAATGCCTCAGCCTTAGTTTCAGTTCTCCTCCATACTAGATAGTAAGGAACAGGAATATACATATAGGTAAGTAATTTAAAGTGATTAGCAAATTGCATTTAATCTAATACTCTTGTATCCTCATAAAAGGATGTTTGAAGGCAGAGTTGAGCACACATACATTTCACTTCAACAATATGATCATCTATACACTAAGGACTGAGGGATCAGGGAGAATTCCCTGCTGTTGACAAATAAACTCAGATTCTCTGATCCAAACTCTGTGGAGATGGAGCTGTCTTTACAAGAACTTAAGGCCTCAACTAAAGAGAAAATTGCATATTCTTGGATTTCCTGCAATGAATCAGAATTTGGATGAGGTAAAAGAGTATATTTAAATAAAAGATAGTAATGAAATTCTAAACGAAGGAATTAGCATGTTTTGTGGAGAAGCTATGAAAAGTGACAAGCAAAAGTGTTGACAGAGACAAACTGGAGTCGATGCAATGCAATTTAGGACACAATTCCATGAGGACAATGGTCATTTCCTCCTTTCCAGGTACATTCTTCCAAGATGGGAATATAGTAGGATTATACTTCATTTTGTTCCAAAACTTAGTGTGATTCATGTATCATAACCCTCAGATATGTGTGTGTATATGTGTGTATGTATGTATGTACTTGATCTGACTCTATAAATCATTTGTAATTTAGTTATCCATAAAGATTATATGTGATATCCATTTACACATACCTTTTATTCTGGGGAATTATTTTCCTTGTACTAACACTTATGATAAATCATGATTCCCTCTGGTAACCAGGTCATTGAAGAGGGAGACCAACTTCCTGACCTCCCTCACCCTTATGTATGAGTTAAAAATAGAGGATGCTGAGATGCATATATTTGGGAAAATTTTGAAAGAATAAAATGTTGTTTGTTTTCTGTCCTGCCCAGTTCCCACAGTCATTAGGTCCCAAAGAAATCACACAGAGTTCTACATTAACTATAAACCGATTGACCCATTAGCTCAGGCTTTGTATTAACTCTTCTAATGTATATTAGTCCATTTTTCTTATCTGTGTTAGCCACATAGCTCAGTACCTTTTTCACTGAAGCAGTCACATCTTGCTTTTTCTGTGGCAGGGCCAGGAATGCAGAGGAATGGGATTCCTTCTTCCTTCTGTTCTCATTTACCTGCCTCTACTTCCTGTCTGGTTGTCCTGCCTATACTTCCTGCCTGGCTACTGGTCAATCAGTGTTTATTTAAAATATAATTGACAGAATACAGACATTTTTCCCATACCAATAAAATGCATGAGAATAGAAGTTAAAGCACAAGTGATGTCATTCTGTCTTAAGACAACCTAGTATGTATTCTGAAAGCCGGACCTGTGTCTATAAATCTTTCTTAAGCTCATTCACATGCAGTAACACCCAGCACTAACAGTGTGAACCTCTCACTTCTCCTTCTAAATAAAAGTTACCAAGACTGTAATACATATGTATTGTATATACAATATATTGATTATATTTATCCTAAGTATTCATATTGAAAGTATATAAATTACATTAACACTTCTTTCTTAAACTCATTTTTCTTAGGTCTTTTATCATAGCAGTAACAAAAGTCAATAAAAAAGTTTCAATCACTTATCAGTAAATCATATCATTAATACAGGTCCAGTACGAATATTCAAAATAGACTGGAAAATGCATGTATATTTCTAATATACATGTATTGCTCAAAAGAAAACACTAATAAAACTTTCATTTACTTATAAGTAATAAATTTTCTTACTTTATTATGTAATTTTATAACTATACTTAGATTGCTCTGTGTAGTATGCTTCTTAGGGGGGGAGGAAGAGTGTGGTCTACAGATTATGATAGCCTTGTGCATTTGTCTCCAATTAAATGTAACAAATTTGTCAATAGAGTATCCTCTTGTAGACTGAAAATTCATGTGTATTGTGACACTTTAGATTTTACTGACATCCTTTTTTACTTAGGATAAGGGACAAAAGTTGAACTCATACATACACACACATATGTTTATAAAATATATTTACATATAAATAAATCTTTGTATTTGTTTATATATAAACAAAAAAATAAATATCCCTCTTTTATAATAATCTTCAATGATTCTATTTCCTTACAATTTTACCAGCAGTTTTTTAGTACTTACCATAAGAGCCAGAATTGAGGCTTAACATATCAAATTAGTACTCACAATTCTACAATGTAGCAAATGAAATTGTTGTCTTATTATGAATTAGAAAATAAGGGCTTGCAAGGAATAAGAGACTCATGGTTGGATAAACAGGTGCTGACTGATGGCAAAAGAATTTATGTTTAGAAAAAAAATTTACATTGCTATTTTCCTTTTCAGGAAGCAGTAGTTTATAAAAATCTTCAAAATGAAAATGATAATCACTGATCGTGAACAATATCTGAAAGTGCCTTAAAATGATTTTCTTATTGAGGTACATGCCTGTTTTGCATGAAAGCCCTATACAAAAAACACACAAATAATTTTGCTTTTGTGTGCAAATAAAAAAATTCAACCTAGGTGGAACAAAGAATATCTCAGTTAGTTCCACTGAATTCTAACTTCAGGACAGTTAATTGAATCTGTAGTCATATGTTTCTGTAGTCTCTCTGATGAATATTTATGTTTGTTTTGCTTAGGAGTTTTCTGCACATGCATGAGTACTAGAATGACTTTTATTTATTTTATATACCAGTCACAGTTTCCCCTTCCTCTCTCCCATGTTCCCTCCCTCAACTACCTTCTACCCCCCCCCCCCATTCACTCCTCCTCCACCACCTCCATTCAGAAGGGGTACAGCCTACTATGGGATTCAGTAAAGCAAGGTTTATCAAGTTGAGGCATGTCCAAGATTCTCTTCATTGCATTATTTGGAAACACATCCCAGCATAGGAAATAGGATCCAAAACATTTGGAAGTAGACGCCTTCTTATTCAAATCCAAGGGACAAAACTATTTCTCCCTTACAGCTGCCCAAAAGGCACCATGAGAACTGAACTAATGGCACACACCTAGGGAATTTCCTTCTGGAAACATTGTCTATTCACTAAATTAAGCTCTTGTCATTATTCACTCCTTAACAGGAGTGAATGGGTATGAAGTACAGGAAGGAGTTAAAGAAGAATTGTAGTTATAGGGCTTGCCAGGAGCTATTAGTGGGAAGTATTACTTATGAGTACCCATTTAGCATGATAACAAATCAGTTTTACCATTTTTATTAGTCTGAAAATATTGAGAAGTGTGCTCATTTACTTGATTACTGAACCACAGTACTATAAACCAAGAAATCTACCTTCCTTTTTAAGTTTATTTTTAATATTTTTTACAAGAAAACAAACTATACTTTTACATCTTACATACCAATCTCAGTTCCCACTCCCTCTAGTCCTCATCCTCTCCTCCTACCCACCCCACCACTCATCCATTCCTAAGAGAGGGTAAGGCATATTGTTTTGGAGAAGGTACTCTCTACTATATCTAGGCTGAGCAGGGTGTTCATTCAAAGAGAATAGGCCCAAAAAAGCCAATACAAGGGGTAGGGATAAATCCCGGTGCCAGTTCCAGTGGCCCCATAGTCTGATCCAGTTATTCAACAGTCACATACATTCAGAGGGAAAAGTTTAGACCTATGTTGTTTCTCTCCCTGTCTGACTGGAGTTAGTGAGCTCCCATTAGCTCAGGTAAACGGTTTCAGTTTGTGTTCCCACCATGGTCTTGGCCTCTTTGCTCATATTCTCACTCTTTTCACTCTTCAACTGAACTTTGGGAGTTCAGTCTAATGCTCCAATGCAGGTCTCTGCCTCTGTTTCCATCAATTGATAGATGAAGGTTCTATCATGACATTTAAAAGATTCATCAGTCTTACTACAGGGCATAGCCAGTTCAGGCACCCTCTCCTCTATTACTTAGATCTTAGCTGTGGTCATCCTTGTGCATTCCTGGGAAGTATTTAGTGCCAGGTTCGTTCCTCCCCCAGCAATGGCTCCCTCAATCAAAATATCTTTCTTTATTCTCATCTCTAGCCTTTTTCCATCTCGACTACCTCATTCCCTCAAGTTTTATTCCTCCCTCTCCTTCTCCATATAGTTCATGATCCCAGAGAAGCTAAGTAACAAGGTGAACCTTAAATTTAGTTTTGATAATTTTTCCATTTAGATCCTAGAGAGACAAATTATTATAGAAAAATGTTCAATCGTAAAACATGAGACAAAATTATCAGATTTCTTGCAAGTTAAAGTCTTTCACTTAGTCAAGCTTACATTGACTTTCAGCTCAAAGCTCTCCAAGGAAACAAAATATATGTGGTTGATTTGTTACTCTAATTTTTCTGTCCTAACATTGATGGTGTTATTAAATAGGAAGAATTAGAAACTAGGTACCTTGTACATTTTTCAAGATTTTTTTGTGGAATATTTTCAAGTGACCTTAAGAGAGTACCCTTTGGGTTGCTTTCTTCTGATAAGTTACGAACTGTAAGACATTTTTACTTATCTGTTAAAAAATGCAGGAGGATGCTGTTGGCATTCTAAATTCATACATTAGATTTGTTCCTTTTTATATGGAATATATCAGGAAATAAAAGAATATTTTTAAATTTAATTTCATTGTTTACAATTAGATACCTAATTCCCTAAATCATAAAAGTTGTAAAGTCATTTTATTAAGCATTGTACTATCCTTAGCTGGGAGAAATTCTCTACATTTCTTTCAATTGTTCTTTAGTTTGCCTTTTCAGAAAACTAGAAAATACCTGTTCGTGCCTCTGCAGAGCTATTCAGAGGAGCTACTCATTACGAGGGTAATGAGCCTAATCTGTCTAAAAGGGTTTAATCTGGTTTTAATCTTCAAGTAATAGTTTTCATAAGAAATTTTGATCATTATTATTCCATATTTAGATACTACAGAAATACCAAAAAAGAGAGATGTTCAACTTGTTAAGCTACTTTTTGTTGACAAAAGTTTTTTTTTTTGTTTTTTTTTTTTTACATTCATTTATTTATTTATTTATTTATTTTTTTGTAATTTTATTAAATTATAAAAAGTTTCCATTTACGCCCCTCCTCCCAACGCCCTCCCACTCCCCCCCTCCCTCTCCTCCTCCCTCTTTGTCCCCAAGGGAAGTCAGGGTCTCCTGCCCTGTGGGAAGTCCAAGTTCCTCCCCCCTCACTCCAGGTCCAGGAAGGTGAGCATCCAAACAGACTGGATCCCAAAAATCCAGTATATGCAGAGGAAACCAGTCCCAGTGTCATTGTCAATGGCTTCTCGGAAAGACTGCAGGCCAGCCACATTCAGAAAAACCAGCCACATTCAGAGAATCTGGTTGGATCACATGCTCGTTCAGTCACGGTCCATCTGGCCTTGGTAAACTCTCATTAGATCCAACCCCTTGTATCAGTGGGTGATAGTATCCCTCGCAGTCCTTCGTCATTTTCTTCCTCCTTTTGCTCCTCGTTTGGATCTTGGGCGGCTCAGTTCGGTGCTCCAACGCGGGCCTCCATCTGTTTCATCATCCAATGCCAGATGAGGGATCTATGGTGATAAGCAAAATATTCATCAGTATGGTCACGGGCCAAGGCCGGTTCAGGCACCCCCTCCTCTGTCCAGAGAACAATCTGGGGATCTCTCCTTGGACCTGGGATCCCATATATAATCAAGTTTCCTGTAAACTCTAATATGACTCCCTTAGTTGAGATATATTCTTCCCTGATCCCACATTCATCCTTCCTCCCTTCCCCCCATCCCGGTCAACCGAGCTTTCTCCATTCCTCCCCTACTCCCTTCTCTCTAACCCTCTCCCCTTCCAGCAACCCTCCCACCCCCCCCCCATGCACCCAAGATTACCTGGGACTCTTGACTATTTCCTACCTCCTGGCGGATAGGTAAATAATCTTCATCAGGTTCGTCTTCTTATTTAGCTTCTCTAGGATCACGAATAATAGGCTCAAAGACCTTTAATTATGGTTAGAATCCACTTATGAGTGAATACATACCGTGTTCCTCTTTTTGGGTCTGGCTTACCTCACTCAGTAAAGCGTTTTCTATGTCCATCCATTTGCATGCAAAATTCAAGATGTCATTGTTTTTTACCGCTGAGTAAAACTCTAATGTGTATATGTTCCACACCTTTTTTAACCATTCTTCTATTGAGGGGCACCTAGGCTGTTTCCAGGTTCTGGCTATTACAAATAGTGCTGCTATGAACATAGTAGAACAAATGCTTTTGTAGTATGATCGGGAATCTTTAGGGTATATTCCCAAGAGTGGAATTGCTGGTGTTGACAAAAGTTTTATAAAGACATTTTCACAATCAAGAGATGTGGGAGGAAATGTCCTCTGACAAACTTCACAAGTTTTATCCCTCATTACTTCACAGTGTATTTTTCTAGACAGAGTGCTGGAGTAACTAATCACTTTCACTGATGTTTTGAGAATACATTAATCTGAGGCACAGAGGAAAGAAGAACTAGGGAGAATCCCACTATTTTCAAGCCATAACAAAGGCCAGGAATGCTCTGGACAAAATATATTGTGAGACATGTAGCCACAAAAACTATGAGTAAGTTCCTTTCCAACAAGCGTTAAGACATCATATATGTAGGGTTATCCTGTCCCCTGACACAACAGAGTTTGAGATTTTTAGAAAGAAGAAATGATGAGAAATATACATTTGTAAAATGCACAGGATTTTTGACATATTTGGACTTAGAGCATCATTGTGTACCTGCAAAGTTATGCTTCTCTTAACTAGACTCATTCATTCAAATGGGCAGCCATATTGAATTTGCTGAGATTCTGGTAGTCAGTATCCATTCTGACTTATTAGGAGACACATGTACTGTGGGAAACAATAAATAAACCTGTATTAATGATAATGATAAAAATGAAGCTGAGAGTAGAAATGGATACTGATAAGTTGTCATTATAAGAGATGACACTCTCATAGTGATATCAATTAATGGTATATTATTTGAATGTGGTATATCATTAATTACCATTTACTTATATTCTTTATATTTTCTTTCATATATATTATTGAGGATTTAAAATTAACATACAGAAAGTGTTGAGATGGACTGAAGGGATAGCTCAGATGTTAAGAACACTGTCTATTTTTCCTGATGTCCTGAATTCACTTCCCAGCAACCACATGATGTCTCACTATATCTGTAATAAGATCTGGTGTCCTCTTTTGGCCTAAGAAATACATGAACACAGAATGTTATATACATAACTAACAGATAAATCCAAAAATGTATGCAATATGATAAGGAAAAGGATGATTTCTATGCCCTATATTTTTTGGCTTCAAATATGAAAACATCACTATCATGCCTGTTAACATCTCGGGGATGAATTTTTCTTCATCAGCAAAATGGAACAATGCCAATACTTTACTCACTTATTTTGGAATTCTTTAAAGAAATCCATACTAAGTATGTTCTCTATGTCTGATATGCTTTAGAAAATGAAGCATAAGGAAATTTAAGAATTATTTTACCATTCAAATATTTTGGATACATACTCCATGCATGTATACAAAATGGAAATTAGTAGAGAATATCAATGTATCACAACCATGAAATGAAATACAAGAACAGCAGCTTCAGAGTTCTATGTGGAAAGAAGAGAAGGAATAATTACAATGGCATTAATATGGAAACAAAAAGAACAAGACATGATTACTTGGAAGATATAAGCACTCCAGGTGAAGGAACACACAATATAGTATGAACAGTTAGACAATTTAAGATGACAACTAGAGACATCGGAATGCAGTAATCAAAATCAAAGAACAGTAAAAAATGGCAGGGGATGAAATCATTTAGATCCTCAGGCATCACAAAACACTATACTGACTGAAAACAGAATCCTATGACATTTACAGTTGTAACTTCCTGGCACTCCAGAATCTTATATAATCATCAATATGACAGCCATGTAGCTCACCTCTGTGTGTGTCTTCAGCTACAAAGGATCTTCTGCCTCCAATCTTTGCAGGAACCTGCATTCATGTACATCTACACACAATTAAAACTAATTTCAGATGATATTTTAGAAGTTGCTTGAATGTTTTGCGGAACTTTTATAAGTAAACACTGAAATGTAGAAAGAATAATTAAACTCTATTTGGAAAATTAAGATAAGAAAATTCTGCTGGGTTGGACATTGTGATAGAAGCAGATGTAGTGCAAATCAGGAATAATAGACAAGTCAGAGCTAGTGCTGATATAGTTAGATTGTGTAGTTGACATGATGAGAGAGAAGGTGGGGCATTATTTCCATATAGGTATATGCCTGTTTTCATATTATTTCAAGAAATATGAAGGAATAACCAGGGAGTCTCTGGTAGTTCTAATTTATATATTCTATGGGTATTGTCAAGCAGATAGTAAGAACATATTAAGTTAAGGAGTGGTAGTTTTAAGATCATTATTAACCCATTTTTGGGTCTGCTTCACATTTCCAGGCATAACTGGAGACTGGAAGAATCACTTTACAGTAGCCCAGGCTGAAGCCTTTGATAAAGTGTTCCAGGAGAAGATGGTTGGTTTTCCATCAGGGCTGTTCCCATGGTAATAAGTTCTCAAAATCATTAAATCATGTATTTTGGAGTGTGAATGACTAGGTGTGAAAATAAAATAAATCCTGTTACTGAATTGTGTAGTTTTAAACATTTACTAGTAGTGTTAGTAGTAATGGTAGTAGTAGTAGAGTTTCACTAGTTGTATTGTGTGTGTGTATACACATGTCTGTGTGTAGTACCTTCAGGGGACAGAAGAGTTGCAGACACAGAATTTAGCAACAAGACTAAACTCAGATATCCTACAAACTCATGGAAATTGAACATGCTCTATTTAACCACCTCTGCATCAAAAAAGAAATAAAAATATTAAAGCCTTTCTAGTGTTCAAAGAAAGTGAAAGCAGATGGAAAAGGACAGTTTGTACTCATACCTTGAAAAATCCATCAACAAGTAGTCTCAATCCTGGACGTCTATGCCCTAACACAAGGGAACTCACACATGTAAAAGAAACAATACTAAAACTTATATTGTACATCAAACCCCATACACTAATAGTAGAAGACTTTAAAACACCACTCTTGGCAATGGATGGGTCAATCAAACAGAAACTTAACAGTGAAATAAGAGAACTAACAGATGTCATCAATCAAATGGATTTTAGAGACACCTATAGAAAATTCCACCCAAACACAGAAGAATATACCTTCTTCTGAGCACCTCATGGAACCTTCTCTAAAATTGATCATATACTTGGTAACAAAGCAAACCTTCACAGATAAAAAAAAATGGAGTAACTCTTGTGTTTATCAGATCACCAAGAAAAAGTTATGATTTAGCAACAATAATACTCTCAGAAAACCTACAAAGTCATAGAAACCACTGAAAGTCATAGAAAGTCATACAGAACCACCCCTGAGTCTAAGGAAGATTAAAGACTTCCTTGAATTCAACAAAAATGAAAGCACAACCTATCCAAACCTATGGGACACTCTAAGAGAAAAGTTCATAGTACTAAGTGCCCACATAAAGAAAATGAAGAAAGTTCACATTAGTGACTTAATAGGACACCTGAAAGCTCTAGAACAAAATGAAGGAGACTCACACAAAAGGAGTAGAAGACAGTAATATTCAAATTGAGAGCTGAAATCAATAAAATAGAAACAAAGAAAACAATACAATGAATCAATGAAACAAAGAGTAGGTTCTTCGAGAAAATTAACAAGATAGACAAACCCTTATCTAAGCTAATCAAAAGGAAGACAAAAAGCAACCAAGTGAATAAAATCAGAAATGAAAAGGAGGACATAACAACAGACACTTAGGAAATTCAGAGAATCATTAGGTCATACTACAAAACATATGCTCCACAAAATTGAAAAATGTAAAAGAAATGGAGAACTTTCTAAGTCGAATAGGGATACAATGATCATATCTAAATATAATAAAAGCAATATACATCATGCCGAGGGGAAACATCAAATTAAATTGGGAGAAACTCATAATGATCCTACTAAAATCAGTAACAAGGCAAGGCGGTCCACCCACTCCATACCTATTAAATATAGTGCTTGAAATTCTAAAAATAGCAATAAGACAACAAGGAGATCAGATAATTCGAATTAGAAAGCAAGAAGTCAAACTTTTGTTATTTACAGATGATATGATAGTGTACATAAGTGACTCTCAAAACTCTATCAGGAAACTCCTTAAGCTGATAAAAACCTTCAGTGGTGTATCAGGATACAAGATCAATTGAAAAATATCAATAGCCCTCCTATACACAAAAGATAAAGAATCAGAGAGGGAAATCAGAGAAACATCACCTTTCACGATAGCCACAAATAGCATAAAGTATCTTGGGGTAACACTAACCAAGTAAGTGAAAGGTCTATTTGACAAGAACTTTAAGTCTTTGAAGAAAGAAACTGAAGGAGAGACTAGAAAATGGAAAGATCTCCCATGCTCTTAGATTGGTAGAATCAACATAGTAAAAATGGCAATTCTACCAAAGGCAGTCTATAGATTCAATGCATTCCCCATCAAAATCCCAACAAAATTCTTCACAGACCTTGAAAGAACAATAATCAACTTTATATGTAAAAAAAAACCCAGGATAGCCAAAACAATCCTATACAATAAAGGAACTTCAGGAGGCATTACCATCCCTGACATAAAACTCTATTACAGAGCTACAGTAATGAAAACAGCTTGGTATTGGCATAAAAACAGAGAAGTTGACCAATGGAATCAAATTGAAGACCCAGATATGAATCCACAAACCTATAAACATCTGATTTTTGATAGAGAAGCTAAAATTATACAATGGAAGAATGAAAGCATCTTGAAAAAATGGTGCAGGCATAACTGGATGTCAACCTGTACAAGAATGAAAATAGATCCATATCTATCACCATGCACAAAAATCAAGTCCAAATGAATTAAATACATCTTTATAAATCCAATCAAACTGAACCTGGTGGACGAAAGAGTGGAAAGTAACCTGCATTACATAGACACAGGAGACAACTTCTTATATGTAACCCCAGTAGCCCAGACAATAAAAGCAACAATGAACAAATGGGACGTCCTGAAACTGAGAAGCTTCTGTAAAGCAAAGGAAACATTCATTAAGACAAAAAGGCAACAGAAGAAGATTTTCACCAACCCCATATCAGACAAAGATCTGATCTCCAAAATATATAAAGAATTCAAGAAACTTGACATTAAAACTCTAAATTACCCAACTGAAAAATGGGGTACTGAACTGAACAGAGAATTCTCAACAGAAGAATATAAAATTGCCAAAAGATACTTAAAGACATGTTCAACTTCCTTATATATCAGGGAAATGCAAATCAAAATAGCTTTGAGATATCATCTGACACCTGTCAGAATGGGTCAAATCAAAAACACTAATGATAGCCTTTGCTGGAGAGGACGTGGAGTAAGGAGGACACTCATCCATTGCTGGTAGGAATGCAATCTTGTGCAACCACTTTGGAAATCAGTGTGGCAATTTCTCAGGAATTGGGAATCAGCCTACCTCAGGATCCAGCAATACCACTCTTGGGAATATACCCAAGAGACTCCCAATCATACTACAAAAGCATTTGTTCAACTATGTTCATAGCAGCATTATTTGTAATAGACAGATCATGGAAACAACCTCAATGGAAGAATGGATAAAGAAAGTGTGGGACATCTACACATTAGAGTACTATTCAGTGGTATAAAACAATGATATTTTGAATTTTGCATGCAAATGGATGGAAATAGAAAACACTTTACTCAGTGAGATAACCCAGACCCCAAAAAGATGAATATGGTATGCACTCACTCATTAGTGGTTTCTAACCAAAAGCAAAGGACATAGAACCTATAGTTCCTTATCCGAGAGAAGCTAAGTAATAAGGTGAACCCAAAGGAAAACATATATATAAATCCTCCTGGAAATTGGAAGCAGACAAGATCACAAGGTAAATGTTTGGGAGCATGTGGGTCGGGGGGAAGAGGAGAGGAGGAAAGAGAAGGGAGAAGGGGAGGCTTATGGAGAGCTTGGGGGAGTGGGATGGTTGAGAGGGAGGAAGGATGGATATGGGAGCATGGACGTAACTATCATAATTAATGGAGCCATTTTGGGGTTGGCAAGAGGCTTGTCTCTAGAGGGATCCCTAGGTATCCCTGGGGATCTACCCAGCTCGGATCCTGGGCAGTGAGGAGAGGGTACCTGAACTGGCCCAGTCCTGTAACCATACTTGACTATCTTGAATATCACCATAGAATCTTTGTCCAGTGACAGATGGAGATAGAGACAGAGATCCACTTTGGAGCACTGGACTGAGCTCCCAACACCCAGTTGAAGAGCAGAAGGAGTGAGAATATGATTAAGGAAGTGAGGACCACAAGGGGTTCATCCACCCACCAAGAAAGTGTGTCTTAGCTAATGGGAGCTCACCAAATCCAGCTGGACTGGGACTGAACGAGCATAGGATCTAACTGGACCCTCTGAATGTGGCTGACAATTAAGGCAGACTGAGAAGCCAATGATAATGGCACTGAAATTTGTCTCTACTGCATTTACTGACCTTTTGGGATCCTACTCTATTTGGATGCATACCTTCCTAACCTGGAAGGATGGGGTAGGGCCTTGGACTTTTCACAGGGCAGGGTACCACGCTCTCTCTTAGGACTGGTGGGAGAGGGAGGGATGGTGAGTGGTGGAGTGGGAGGGAAGTGGGAAGAGGTAAGGAAGTGGAGATAGTTATATAAAATGAGAAAAAAATGCATTAAAACTATTTATTAAAACAGAAAAAATAATTACATATGCCAACATTTTATGTTCTTTCTATTTTTTCACATTTCAAACCTTTCTGAAAGCTAAATTCTATTTAAAAACTTTTTAAATTAAACCCCATTTCTTTGTCCGAATCTATGCTGAGTTTGTTGTTTTGTATCATGAGCTTAGGCTCATGATTCTCCAGAATGATCTCTAAATAATTTCACAGTTGCTTAATACAGCAACCTTTGCTTGGCTATTGCAATATATATTTCTCTTATCAATAGATTGTCTCAGAACAAACTTTAGAATGTTAATCATTTTTTGCCTGCACTATAAATTGTGTCTGTCAACAGTTGTTATAAGCTAAATAGTTGACCAGGTTTGGAAACCTTACAGTACTCACAAAGGTCTCTTTGCAATGCCCTGTTATACAGATACTTAATTATATGGTATATGAACTAATGACATATTATTAAAGAATGTAAATTCTAAAGTCATTGCACAAGTTTGCATTCCCACCCACAATAAATGAGTGTTCGCCTTACTTCACATCCTTTCCAGCATAGGATATCATTTGTGTTTTTTATTTTAGCCATTCTGACATGTGTCAGATGGTGTCTCAAAGTTGTTTTGATTTGCCTTCCCCTGATTTCTAAGGAAGTTGAACATGACCTTAAGTGTCTTTTGGCCATTTGAACTTCGTCTGCTGAGAATTCTCTGTTCAGTTCAGTACCCCATTTTTTAATTTGATTAATTAGAATTTTAAAGTCTAGTTTCTTGGGTTCTTTATATATTTTGGAGATCAGATCTTTGTCTGATGCGGGGTTGGTGAAGATCTTCTCCCATTCTGTAGG